GCCCCTTTTTTCCTCATACTGTTCTGCCCAGCTTTTTGTGTTTTTATTTATTTATTTTTTGCGTCTCTCCAAACGTCGCAGTCGCTGTAATGTCTTTTTTCATTTTTATTTTTCCGCTTGCAACCTTTTTTTTTCGTTGACGAAGAAGGAAAAAAAAACTAAAAAAAAAGAAACCCTCTTTTCTTCTGGCCTTTCTTCCCTACGCCCCTTTTTACCCCCTTTTTGCACTGCTTACAAGCAGCAGAAACAGAAAAAAAATTTATATAAAAAAACAAAACACACACACTCACTCACACACACACACACACACACAGACAAAACGAAATCCAAAGAAGAAGAAAAATGTGATAAAAACTGAAAAATATTTTCCATGAGAAAATCCAAAAGAAAAGGGGGGCGGCAGGCGGTGGGGTGGCTTGGTTTTTGAGTTGGGTTCAAGCAACGTATGTGTGTGCCTCTGTGTGTGTGTGTGTGTGTGTGTGTGCTTGGCGGGAAAAATATACTACAATAAAACATGTATTTTTTATGCCAGCCCCCAACCCCCCCACTAACCCTTACATATATGTAGCTTTTTTTTATTTTAAGGAACTTAAATGTGTAACGCTTTCGGTGTGTGTGTGTGTGTGTGGAGAAAAGATTGGGATCAAAAACCCTTTGCAGTTAACTCTTGTCTACATATATACTATATATGTATATAGTATGAGTGTGTGTGTGTGTGTGTTTTTGAGAGGTGGGAGGGGGGTTTTCTATTATTGCGTGGGAGGGAGCCAAGTCAGAAACCGAAACGAAACAGAAACCAAACTCAAATCCCAATACTTGAGTGCCGGACACTGAGTTTTTTTAATGCCACTATTTTAGGCAGTAAAACCAGTTGCCAGTGTGACCATTTCACCGAAAAAAAAGAAAGAAAATAAGAAAAATTGATAGTGCTACGAATATATGTTTTTTATGATCAATACAAGGAAAGAAAAGTAATAGTTTTAAGAAATTAGAAATCTTATAAGATTATTTAAATGTTTAATGCCAGTGTGACCATTTCATCGAAAATATATGTTTTTTATGATCAATAAAAGGAAAGAAAAGTAATAGTTTTAAGAGTACAACTCTTATACGAATGAATGTTTAATTAATTAAAAAAATAAGAGTTGTAGATAAGATCATTTAAATATTTAATTAATTTACAAAATAAATAAACAAAATTATAGATATGGTTTTATACTCTGCCAGTTTAATCATCATCAGAACCCACTTTTGCTTTAATAATTATTATAGAAAATCTGTAGTATTTCAGCAAATGATTTAATATATTAATATTTCTAAATGCAACTGTTCTTTACCTTGTCAGGATCTTTATGATATGTAAATCTAATATTTGATTTATATATTTAAACAAGGAATTCGAATCTGAATAATATGTGTTATATGTGTATTACAGCTTTAAGTATTTCTTTCTAGTATTTAAGGTATTTAAGGTATTTTATATCTTCAATAATGTTATCCCAAAAAAAGCTTGCCTGTACTTTTATATATCAATCATGTGGCACACACACACCCCATACCCATTTCTATATATACTTTAGAATGCATATAGCTCTCTTTTATATACTTTCTGAAGAAGTCCTTTCTTCTTCAACATTTTCTAGTTATTCTTTTTTACCTTTTCTTCCAGTTTTTTTCTGGTTTTTTTTTTTTTGTATGGTTTTTTGTGCAATTTATTTGCCAGTGTTCTGATGTTTTTTATTTCGTTTGGTTTTTTTTTGTATTTTGCTTTTTGCAGCTTGTGTTTTTTTTTTGTTTCTCAACTTTCCTTTGGCATTTCTTGTAGCTGCAAAAAGGTGAAGCGAAATTTGCTTTCGCATTCTGTTCGCGAGCAGAGCTCTGAGCTCCTTTCTTCAGCAGCTTTTTCTACAGCATATTCACGCTCCCTGCTTCTTCTTGCTTTGCGTTTTTTTTTTGACCCAAGCTGGAGTTTCTTTACTCTTAATGTCCTTTTCCCTAAATGTCAGAGTGTATGTGTAAGGTCCATTTTGTACACTGGACATAAAACGCAGCTAACATAAAGTTCTTATCCCTGCCCCTTTTATCCTACCCTTTTTTTCGTTCTTTTACCCCTTGTGCTATTAGTACTAAAAGCAAGAATGCGTTTTACGAAAATAAAAAAAGGGGGAGAAAAAAGTAAACCCAACCAAACCAAGTTTAAGAGACAAAAAAAAAAAAATCCAAAAATTTGTTAGCAGATAAAAAAAAGAAAGAAAAAGGGTAACAAAATTGTTGGGGGAATTCTTAAAATTTATTGCCTGAACCGGGGGAAGGGTTAAAGTGGGCGCACTTTAGGGGGGAGGGTGTGAGAAAAGGGACAGTAGCCAGTATAAATATATATAAAGATGGACACAACTCTATCATCCTTTTTATTATATACTACATACCTGTTTACAATATATTGTATAAAGTATATATATATCCAGTGTCCTTACTGTTTGGAAAGGTGGAAGCTTTAACCGCTTACAAAAAGGTTTTAAATTTTAAAATTCCTGCTTAAAACTAAGGTTTGGAGTTAGAATTCTGAGCTATGTTTCGTTCTTTCAAACTTACAACTGAATTAGTTTAATTTTTGAATAAAATGTGACCTTGCCTTCTGTATAAAAGCTACCTTGCAGTGTCATAGTGCCAAAAGACGTGATTACATCTCTAAAATGGTTTACCTGTTTCGTTTTCTAATGCTTACATTAATAATGTTAATAACACAATCTAAACAAAATCCTTGCAAAGCTTTAAATACACAAAATAAAATGCGACCGTCTCTTTATTGACAAAATGTCTTCTCTGGAAATTATTAAGCAGCTTTGCAGTGTCATAATGCCATAAAAATAATGTTGTAAAATTAGGTTCCTTTATATTTGTAAAATGTATTATGTTTTTCAAGTTAAAAAAATAATGAGGCACGCCTAATGAAACCTTTAACAAACAAACACAACAAGCCAGTGCCATAAGCCAGTGTGATCTCTATAAATATCTGCTTTCCTAATTTTTCAATCAAGCATTATAATTATAATATATAATATAATAACGCTATCTTTAAGATTTCTTCGTAAAAACAAGAAATCTTAACTAAACAGAAGCAACAAGCCAGTGTCATAATACCATAATTCGTAATTTATATACATAATCTTCAATATCTTAATTAATATACCCACACTTTCTTATTGATTAATTTTAATTTATAATTTATTATATTTATTTATTATTAATTCAGTTAATACGTTTTTGAAAGAACCCTTATAGTATTTGTTCAGTTAATAACATGGAATATGGAATGGTATTATCTTTGACCAGCCACAAAGACGAAAATCAATTTATTTCGCTCTTTCGTCACGTCAATTTTTACCAATTACGATGTGTGTGTGTGTGGAATCTGTGGAAATCGACAACAAAAGGGATTTTATAATTGCTCTTTTCATACATGTACATACATATATGTACATGTATATATATCTGTAGATTTATTTTTAAATATATATTTTTTGTTTATTCCTTTTTTGTGCTTGTACCTTTTACGTTCAAGTATATTGACAGATATGGCGGGAAAGCAAAAGGGAAATTGTGTTTTTATTAAGCGTCAACTCGTACTCGTACTTTTCGTATATATAAACAAGATATATATATACTTTGTATTACATAAATCCATGTGTATGTGTGTAGGTGGTGGCAATGGGGGGGGGAGTAGTGACAAACAAAATAAAGTTTTACCTTGCGCATAATATTTGCGATGCATAAAAGTGTGCACCAGAAAAAAAAAAAACAAAAAATTATGAAAATTCTTTATGTGTACAAAAGAGGGGTAAAGTGGGGGGGGGAATAATAATAAAATGAAACGAAAACGAGAACGGACATTTTTATGGTCCTCCTCTCAGAGCCAAGGAAAAAAACGACCGCCCCCTTTTTTTTCGCAGTGACTGAAGTCATTGGCGCTGCTGCTGCTGCTGCTGCTGCTGGTGCTTCTTTGTTGCCAGGGAAATGGAGCTGGAAAAAACATCTCGCCATTCGATGACTGGCAGCAGGAGGAGGAGATTCCTCCTCCAGGACGATTCCTGCCACACTCTTTGCTCTCCTCAGTCCAAACTATAGCACATGCTGAGCATAAAGCGGGAATTTCGATTATTTATTTGGGCGAAAAAAAGAACAAAAATTGCAATGAATTTAATTCGAAAAATACCTTGGAAAAAAGGGGAGAAGAGGACATAACAGAAGGCGGCAAAAAACGTTTTCATTAAATAGTTAAAAAGCTGCATGTCCTCCGATTGACATTTACACACAAATGCCCAGCGAAAGGATTCGGTTTGGTATAACAAGTTTATCGATACGGATGCGAGTCCTGTTACTGCCTCTCCAGGAGATAAAAAACCAATAAACGGCTCCAAATCCCTGGAAAATTGTATAAAAAATATTCTAGAAAAAGTCAATTTACTAGAGGGTCTGGAAAATAAAAAGGAAAAACACAAAAAAAAGGCAAAGAAACTATTGTTTGATTTCATATTTGAACTGGGTGGAAATTTAAAGTGCAAAACTTAACATTTAAGAAATAAAAACTGGAAAATTTAAGAGCAAATCTGCTTAAAAATAATAATTTCTTAGAGGAATTAAAAAAAACATAGATTTTTTTAAAATAAATTCCTTAATAAATTAAGCTTTTTATGATTTTATTATTTACGTCTTTAAATTTCACCTATTCAAGTTTGTTCACATTTCTTTTTAAGTTTAAGCTTTAATTTTTCGAAATACTTTATTTTGTTTAATTGTAAATATAACACTTTAAGCAGGGCTGCATCTCCAGTAGACCTATCGATGCTGTGCCTTATCGATATACACACCGCAACCAATCGATAGATTAAACTTTTGACATATTTTTAAAATTTTAACTGAAGCATTTAAATTATCGAAAAAAATGAATATAAATATTTAAATAATCTTTGTTTTTTCACATTTTCAACAATTTCTTTTAGATATATAGTACCTAGGAGTAGGAGGAGTAGTAGTCGATAGCATCACCACCATCCGGGGCAGGAACAGGCGCGGCATCATCATGTTGCCGCAGCAGTACTGCCTGAGATGGAAGTACCATCATAGCAACCTACAGACCATGTTCTCGCAGCTCCTGGATCGTGGCTGCTTCTGCGATGTGACTCTGGCCTGCGAGGGTCAACTGATACGGGCCCATCGCGTTGTCCTTTGCGCCTGCAGCACCTTCTTCGACGCGGTCCTCTCGAACTATGCCAGCGAAAGGGATCCGATTATCATCATGAAGGATGTCACCTTTGCGGAGGTCAAGTGCCTGATTGAGTTCATGTACAAGGGCGAGATCAATGTGGAGCATGTGAGTGTTGATCATATGAAATGTAAATCACTTTATTAGATAAATTATTTACTACTTTTACAGGCTAGTCTCCCCTCGCTGCTAAAGACCGCCGATGACCTGAAGATCAAGGGCCTGGCCGAGGTAACTTGGCGCGATGAAGAGGATGGTCCACCGCCTCCCATGGCCGCTGCTGAATTCCATTCGCCGCCACGCAGTCTGGCGGAGAGCTTTGCCCAGGACCTGATCCTCCAGCAACAGCAGCAACAGCAGCAACAGCAGCAGCAGCAGGGAGCTTCATCGCATCTGCACAGCTCCGCGCTGCTGGATAGAGAGCGTGAGAGGGAGCGGGACAGGCTCTCATCACCAGGCATGGACAGTGTGTTGCTGGGCCGCATGCCCGTGATGACACCCCATCCGGGAGCAGCTGGAGTTGGAGTCGGTGCGATAGGCGGCGCCGCCGGCGGCAGCTCCGTCTTGGAGGGCACAGCACCCGTGGAGCACTATCTGGGACCCAAGCGCAAGCGGGGACGTCCGCCACTAGACGATGCCTACGATGTGTTCAATGTGTGAGTTAAAAATCCCTCAAAAAGTTGAATTTAAATAAAAGAATACATTTTTTGACAGCCGCAACAAGCTGGCCCAGTATGCCGCCAACCTGGAGCCCGCTCAGCGCGCCTATTTGGAGACGGCTCGCCATTTCGCCGAGGAGCCGCCAATGGTGGCCCCGCTCAACTCCCCGCCAGCTGCCTGCCCGCCCAAGCAGCGCCAGCGCCTGCGTCATCACCAACAGCAGCAGCAACAACAACAACAACAGCAGCAGCAGCTCCTCCAGTCGGAGGCCAATGAGCAGGAGCCAGGAGTTGGCCAGGAATGGTCCCAGGCCAATGAAGATTCACGTCGCAGTCCCACCACCACCATGATCCCCACCGATGGCAGCGGCGATAACAAACCGGAACTAGAGGCTACCGGTGATAGCAATGAATTAAATCCCGAAGTTCTAACCACCAGCAGTGGCAGCGTTAAAAAGCTGGAGAAGATTAATGAGCGACGGGAGCGTCATGGCAAGCTGCGTCATGCCCGGCGACTCTACGAGAAATCCTCGTCGTCTTCGGATGATCCCGCCCCCGCAGAGACAAAGAAGGAGGATGCCCTGCCGCAGCCGGTGGAGGAGATCGAGAATGAGCATTTGGTGGCTAATAGAGGTGAATCGCCGCGTCTAGCTGCTTCCTTACTACCGGCCAGCCTTGCTGCCTGCAACTATGAGGCCTCAAGTGGCGAAGGAGCTGGAGCAGGAGCTGGATCCAGCTCCGGCTCCGGCTCGTCTTCCGCCGGCTACTTGATCAATGAACATGGCATAATAATGGCACACGAGTTTGCCCCCAATGCTGCTGCGGCTAGTGCAGCTGCGGCCGCCACCGCTGCCGTTGCTGTGGCAGCTGCTGCCGCTGTGGCAGTGGCCGCCAGTGCCTCGGCCGCCAGCTCATCATCAACATCAGCCGGCGGTAGCCAACAGGAGCCTGGCGGTGATTATCCGGACATTAAGTTGGAGGAGTATGATGCCGCCGAACTGCGGCTGACGAACGAGGAGCTGTCACAGTGGCAGGATGTCATCAAAATGGACGACTATCTGGCCAAGGGACGGCGTCCCCAATTCTGGGAGGAACCCTTTACCAAACGTGTAAGTAGCGGGTAAACTTTAATGGGTTTTCTTTGGTTAACATTATACATTTTTTTTTTTAGGTATTGGATGCCATTAAAAACAAAAGACTCGAGATGAAGAAGGCCGCCCGCATCCTGGGCGTTTCCTATGGCACATTGTACGGACGTTACCGTGAGGTCTACGGCTGCTTGAAGCATCCATACAGGTAAGTGGCTTCTTTGTAGCGAATGACAAGTTCGATACGAGTGTCTTTTCTTTCTAGTGGCACGGCATTCCGCAACTCTGGCTCCTCGTCCGCTGCCAGCCAGCTGGGTGGAGTCCAGCCTCGCTTCGATCTAAGCTTCCGCAACGGAGGCGTTCTGCCCGCCCAGCTGGGTAAGTCGGGGGAGGGATAAACCAAAGAGGAAGAGGCGCACCAACTCACTGGGAATTAAGTTCAAACCAATTCCTACTTACAGAGCTGGGCAAGGTAAAGAAGAAGCTGAACGAGCTTTGGACACGGCCGCAGATCTGAGGGCCAGCCATGATGAGGAGGAGGGTCAAGAAGGAGCAGCGACGCCACCGGCTGACGACCTAGGGAGTTGAGAAAAGACAGCTAAGAGCAGGCTAGTTTAAGAACCTTTCCTGAAGAAAGTACCCAACATTTTTTTTTTTTTTATTTTGATTCGTTTTTCTCTTCCTTCAACTGATCTTGTACGCGCATAAGGATCTTAAAATATGCATAATATACTTATAATAATAATAATAATACAACCTAATATATGTCTACGAATCGCGGATTAGTTAAATGAACTACATATATATATAAATAAACAGACCCACAAACGGTATTGATTGGCATTCAATGTGAATGAGATATTGTATTTATAGCTTATCTATATTTCTTTTTGGTAGTGAAATTTTTGAATAAAAAAAATACAAGAAAAACACAAGAACTATGAAATAATGGAATCTAGTTAATCGCGAAAACAAAAACACGGATGATAATGTGAATTTTTTGATAAGCTAATGCAAACGAACACAAATAATATGTATTACATACAAAACAAATATATATGTTTAAAACGAAATAAATTAATATCGATTATGAAATGTTTGAATTTGAATTTTGGCGGCTGCCTAACTTAATCGATGTATGAAGGCAGCTATCGATATCAAAGAGGGCTGCCAACTGGCTGCAGTTAACAAGTCGAAAAGCTTATTTCAACTATTTGGGATTTTTTAGGGCGACAGCCAAATTGCATCTGGCAACACTAGTAGCGTCTAATGTTTTTTTTTTCATATTTTATTTAGTTTTGTAGTTTAATGGTGAAATTGTTGCAAAAATGTTGCTAAAAGTGCAAAATATTGATGGCAGCAACTATGTTACTACTTGTAGAAAGATGGGCACCTACATGCTCATTTTCGCTTGCCACAAAGAGGCCACTTTGCAAAGTTTTGAGGAAGTTTTGCATATCGAAGAGTTCAAAAAGCGGCTGGTGGTGAGTATATCCCGGTTTATATATGTAGTATAACTAACGGCAATATGTGTATCTTAACTATCCCGCTTAGAATCTAAACACTCGCATCAAGTTCCCAGAGGAGGCTGTGAAGACCACGCTCATCAAGAACAATTTCTCGCAGAGCTCGATGGCATTGGAGCCCAACTCGGCCGGCGCCTTTGTGCTGGCCTTGAAATATCCCATGGCCGAAACATCGACGCCCCTCAAATGGGAGTGGCACCTCAAGCACACAGATACTGTCGAGGTGAGGAGTTCTTGGTGCAGCAACGGAACTTGTACCTCCCTCAATCTCTCCCTTGCACCTAACGTGCATGTGTGTGAGAGAGAGATGGGGCTCGCATGCATGCACACATGTGCAGTGCATCCTTTTCGTGCTCGCGCTTTATACGGAAAATAGTGGAAGAGCTTTCCCTTCCACTAGAAAGACTTGGGCTAGTAGCTTTCTTTCTTGTTGAAATTCAAAATGTTACTCTGAGATACTGACCTCACGTGCATTTGAGAGAGAGAGAGAGAGAGGGGAGAATAGGGCTTGCATGCATGCACACATGTGCAGTGCTTCCTTTCGTTCTTTATACGGGAATTAATGGAAGAGCTTTTTCCTCCATTAGAGAGACTTGGGGAAGACTTCTTGCTAGTTAAAATTCAAAATATTACACTGCAAGCCACTGTACATTTACTATAAATATATACATATGTACATATATATATATATTTATTTTCCTAGTTCTTCCGCGAGGTACTACTAGAAACCTTGGAACAAGGTACCACACTGCGTAAAATCATTCGAAACTTGACGAAGGAGCTGTGCGCCAAAGACAATGAGTTGCAGCAATATCGCAGGGAGGGATATGAGCTACGCAGAAGTGAGTTTTAAAGCAAAAATGTTCCTTTTTAAAATATGTATAAATTAATTTTTTTCTGTATTAATATTTCCCTTGTAGCCACTGTAAGGACAAAAACTTTTGATTTGCTCGAATTTAACGCTGATAACCAGGAGTTGTTGGAAGAATCATCTGCGTTTGGGGATCTTAATAGTTTCTTTCAGTATTCCCATGACTCCCGTCGACGATCAACACCGTCCACGCCATCAACAACAGCTTCGTCATCATCCACAGGCTCGTCATCCACAACAGCCTCGTCATCATCTAGCAGCAACGTTACGCATAAAACTACTAGTTCTTCATCTAGCTCCAATACTTCTGTGAAACCAGGTTCTTCATATAGCCCCAAGGTAGCCCGTAGCAGGTTCGTCTTTTGATATAAAACATGTATGTTTGGGCGGCATATTTGTAATATCTATTTAATATTCACAGGAAACGTAAGGCTCAGGCGATAAATAGCAAGCGTTTGGAGGAAAAGGTCAAGCAGCGTTTGCTAGATCCGCAAGTAAAGTTCAATTCCCAGAGCTCACAGGAGGATGAGCTGGTAGACTGGCTGGTCGAGGGTGCGGTAAAGGTAGAGCCAGAGCACGAGCTGAAGCAAGAGCCAAAGCCTGAGCCAGATCTGACCATCAAAACCGAGACTGAGGAGGCTCTACAAACCCCAAAAGATGAAGATGCTGCTGAAGTAAAGACCGAGAAGACAGAAGAGCTAGAGGAGAAGGCTACAACCGTGCCTGAAGAAGAAAATAACAACGAAAGCCTCACCGAGAGCGACCAGGAGCTTAACGAACTGCGTTCGATTCTGGCCGCCTCTATGGCTCAGAATCGCCAAAGCGCGGGGAGTAGCAGCAGGTACACTTAAAAAAAACCAACCAGGAACCCACTTATAGTGATATAGAAGTTAACAATTGTTTTTTTTCGTTAAATGTACATTTGAAATGTACAACTTGACATGAAAGAAATCTCCCCACTGATAAAGGGATTTACCAAAGACAATATATAGCCAGGGACATTGCTTGCAGTTTATCATTTTTACCATCAACTGGGTATTGTTTTAAAATTAAAGAAAAAAAAACAACAAAACTTTAGAACGAAAGAAACCAAGAGAAAATTAAGAGATCTATAAAACTTAAATTTGTAACTGACGAGAATGAAATAAACATTTGCTATAGCAAAGAAGTGTGTCGTCTGATTCAGGGGAGTTGGCCCGGTTTGCGGCCGAGTGAGCCATCGAAATCAAATGTGAATTTTCGCTCTGATTTGGCATTTGTTTACTTTTATGACACCCGATCGAGCCATCGGCCCGGGTTGGGTCTTTGGGGGGCTTTGGCAACATTCAATTTACGCACGGTTAGCGATAAGATAGGCCCAGGCAGCCACCACAAGTAATATCAACTGGCCATGGGTCGGATGGCTCATTGCGGTGGCTCGATTCAAGAAATTCGGTCGATAATTGTAACACCGGTCCAACCATCATCGTTTCAAGAACCAACATAAAAGTATTGTTATTTCAAATTGTTAATCGAAAGAATAGATCTCGGGATGATTCGAATTTTGCTGGCAATATCGCTTCTTCTCGGCGTTATGGCCATCGATGAAAGTGAGTCACGGTTTTGACGGTTATCAATCCAATATTATGGCATTACAAGTGTGGGCGGCGCTACTTGCCTGAATAAGTAAGACTATCGGCAATGAAAACTAACGAAACAAATGTTTAGTTATCGGGTAAAACCCACAAAACGTTTAAGAGAACTATTTATCGTTTCAAATCGGTTTTTTTTATGTGTTAATTCTTTTTTTTTTTCGGTGTAATAAGTGAAGTTACAAGCCATATTTTGTTATTACAATATGTAAAATATGTGTGGGAAATAAGGAATAGAACTTATTAAAACTATAATAAAATAATAATTATTATTATTATATTAATAAAATGTAATATTTTAAAATAATTATCTACCCCCAAATGCCAACCCATTAATAGCCCCAATTATCCAAGTACTTTTCCAAGGAGTGTTCACAAAGCAAAAACTTCGATTAGATTGTTGTTTTTTTTTTTGCAATAGAAAGAAGTCATAAAACCATAAACATATACCCAATTGACGTTAAGTATCTATCGAAAAGCACTGGGGGGAAAATTGTGTGTTTCACGCTTTCTGTATGGCAAATACTTGCAGCTATTATCTACTAACACCTGCCACAAGCGATTATTACTGTTCACTTATAGTATTCAATAATCGGCAGTGAGTCAGATTTGAGTCGTAAAATCAGTATATAAACGGAAATAATTTAACTAAGAACCGAACGCCTAAAATTCCCAATTGGTTCTAGCATTTGCGCCATGAAGTAGAAACAAGAAAGAAAGCTAACTTCGTGAAGCCGATACATTTTCTCCTCATATAAAAATACTATGGTATCTTCGCAGATGCTGGAACTGAAGCGGTGAATGCCACTTCCGGTAAGATCGATCCCAAGATTGTTGGTGGCGAAGCGGTGGATATAACGGCAGTGCCATACACGGTATCGATTCGTCTGACCGCCAACGATAGACGCAGCTATGGATCTGGACATCTTTGCGGCGGTGTGGTGATCTCCCAGCGTTTGGTGGTCACCGCCGCTCATTGTTGCTACAAGTGGGTATCCTTCTCCACCACCACCTACTTCTCTTCCAATAATTATATATCTTTCAGTTCCGATACCAGCAAATATCGAACGGCGGGCGAATATTTCCTGGTCATGGGCAGCAGCAATCTGCGTAGCTCCACCGCCAACACCCAGGAGTACTATGTCCAACAGCTGATCATTCATCCGGATTACAACCACAAAACGCTGACCAATGACATTGCCCTGATGTTCATCAATGGCTATATACCATGGAATTCGCCCACGGTGCGGGCTCTGGCCCTGAATAGCGGCATGGTGTCCACAGGGACCGTTTGCATCATCTCCGGCTGGGGTGTGCTCTATAGTGTGAGTAGCAGAGAGGAGGAGGATGCTTTGCATATATTATATTATTTCTATAACTGCCATCTCCCATTTTCAGGGTGGCTACAGCAGCAATAGCCTGCAGGCGGCCTCGGTGCCCATCGTCTCCTACGAGTCCTGTCGCTCTGCCTACGAAATTGTGCCCATCTCTCAGGTCTGCGCTGGCTATGCCAAGGGTGGCGTCGATGCCTGCCAGGGCGACTCTGGCGGACCACTGAATTGTAACAACCAGCTGGCAGGGATTGTCTCCTACGGCAGTGGATGCGCGCTGGCCGGCTATCCGGGCGTATACACCAATGTGTCGTACTACAACGGCTGGATTGTGCAGCAAAACAACTCGCTGAATTATTCTATATACAGGAATGCTGCCGGTCCACTAAGTTCCGGCTCTAAACTGTGGTGGCTGCCACTGGCTCTGGCCTTTGTCCTGGCCACTGGTGGCAGCTCCTTGGCGGCGGCGTCACACTGAAGCAGATGCTCCAGGCCGTAACTTAAGTAGTTTGTGTTTAGCAAAATAAATGAATTTATTTAATATTTTCAAGAAAGCAAAAAAAAAAAGCAAAGAACAAAGTTATGTTGAATTGAAGAGTAAAATAAGAATGTATTGCATACTTTTGGACGCCTTTTTATAAGGGTTTTAAATCGTTTCTATTGGGAAAGTCACTAGAGTTCTTAAAAACCCAAAAAAAAGGTTAAATATTTGCCTTTACAATTTGTTACATGTTTCAGTAACTCCAGAATTGCTTTGCATACTTTTAGATCCCCTTCTAAGAGTTTCAAAAACTCCTTAGTGTTTTCTGAAACTTAAGTAGTTTGTATTTAGCAAAATAAATGAATTTATTTAATATTTTCAAGAGAGTTAACAAGAGCAAAGTACAAAGAACAAAGTTATGTTGAATTGAAGAGTAAAAGGAAAATGTATTGCATACATTTGGACAGCTTTTCAAAAGGTTTTTCAACATTTTCTATTAAAAAAAAATCCAAAAGTTTTTAAAATCCCAAAAAAGTAGTAAAAAATTTGCATTTAAAATTTGTTATCATAAAAAAAAACATATTTCAGTTACTCAAAAAATTGCTGTGCATATTTCTAGACATCCTTCTAGGGGTTTAAAAAACCATAAAAAAGTGATTTGTGAAACACCCCAGTGTATATTTCTCTATAGCATCGCTTAGGCAACGATCCATTTATCATTCGACTTTTGTTTTATTTATTTTTTTTCCACTCAACGACACGGAAATCAAACTCTTCTGGACCTGGAGATGGCGTTGGAGCGCCACCAGTGGCCGCTAGTGCTGCTGTCGCTGGCCCTGGCAGCCTGCGGCCAGCAAGAGTCCCATCAGCAGCCTGAAACGCTTTCTGAACCCAAAATCGAAACGCAATCATCCGAATCAGTTAACGACACACAGACAACACTTGTCCAGTTTCCCGGTGGCGACACCGACTCCGACTCCGCCTCGGCATCGTTCGTCCGGCTGCCGAAGGTCGTTGGCGGCTATACGGTGACTATTGACCAGGTGCCCTACCTGGTGTCCGTGCGCAAACGCATCGTCCACGAGCAGATCTTCGGACAGGGCCATTTTTGCGGCGGAGCAATCATCTCCCAGCGGGTGGTCTGCTCCGCTGCCCACTGCTATGCCATGTGGGTGTTGATAGTTAGCCCAGTTAGTTAAGTAAAGCCTATTTCTCCATGCAGTAATACCACGGAAAGGCAGGATTATTACAGACCCGAGCTATTTGTGGTGCTGGCCGGCATGAGTGTCCTCGACCGGATGGATCAATTCGTCCAGGAGTATTACGTACAGCAGATAGTTGGCCATGAGCACTACGACTCCAGGACGCTGACGAATGACATTGCCCTGCTCTTCCTCAATGGCTATATACCGTGGGAATCGAAAACGGTGAAAGCAGTGCCGCTGGCCAACGACCCGCCCATGGCGGGCACCTCTTGCCTCATCCATGGCTGGGGCATGCCCAGGAAGGTGAGTGATGATTCCACACTAGGATATTATAATTCTATACACAAATTTTAGTGGGACAAAGTGATAACGCTGCAGCAGGCCCCGGTGCCCATCTTGAACAAGGATCTATGCCGTTTCATCTACAAGCAGCCCGAATCCCAGATGTGCGCGGGCTTCCTGCAGGGTGGCATCGATGCATGTCAGGGTGACTCCGGCGGGCCGTTGGTCTGCAATGGGTTTCTTGCTGGGATTATTTCGTGGGGCGTGGGCTGTGCCGATCCTGGCTTCCCGGGTGTCTATACCAATGTGTCGAGGTTTTTGGAATGGATACGCGCCGTGAACCTCTCGTTTAACTACTACGACTACCGAGATATGAGGCTCCTCAATGGACAGACGGCAGGCAGTAGCATCAATTCTGGCCTCCTGGCTTCTGCTATCCTTATGATCATCATCGTCGCGGTCGGCCTTCTGTGACACAATAAATCGCTTGCTTTGTCTATTGTTCCAACAACTATGTACTATGTAGAACTACACTGATTTATCTAATCGTGGCGAGTGGAAGCTACCTGAGATCGCCAGCCACTTGAAGATTGTCCCTGTCCAATAGTTGACCACGCTGATCGATGACATCAGACAGACCAGAGTGGTGTTCAATGGGTACTCTGTACTGGTCAAGGGGTATGTACTGTGTTCAGAAGAAAAAAGTGTGATGAAAGTAGTTGGGGAAATATTAAATAATAAATGAATATAGGTTTGCCTTAAACCTGATAAATATGATAGTTTCTTCTTTATGCTTTAAGGCCTTTTAGGCTCTCTGAAAAAAGACTTGGGAATTATAAGCAAAATGTTGTTTTCCATTGATTTATAATCATCTTTTGTGGCTTAAGGAAATTATATGAAAAAAAATAAAAAAGGTGTTTTATTTAAAAATAAAAGGTTAGCTATTATCTTTAGTTATTTAGGCTCTATGAAAAAGGACTTGGGAATTATAAGCGAATTTTAACTTGGGAACGATTGTAAATACAAGTTTAGAAAACGATCCTTGATCTTGTTTTCATTAACAAGATTTTTTTCAAGTGTGGCTATTAATTAACATCCCCTCCCAAGACAATCCCTGTTTTTTTTTAATAGTTTATATTTATTAATTTAATTGTCAACACAATTGACTCAAAAAATATTATATTAACAAAAGGACCACAACACACTGACCTTATTTTTGATTATGTAAATAAACAAGGTATAATAAAGGTATAAAGTATACAATAATTAAGCTATCTACCACACATAATAATAACAAATAAAAATTGTATAAATAATCAAAATTGACCCAGATTTTTCTTGTGGATGAGTAACTCTTGGTCGAGGGGCACTCCCCCTCTTTCGCCTTTTAATTTTTTGATTTTTTATAAATTGTTTACCAGCCTTGTTAGCTGAAATATTAATCAATTTTATTTGCACAAGAGCCGCGCGTTAAATTAAATCGAAATCATAACAATGGTCAGCGATCAAATAAATTCGCATTCCCAACCTGTTGCTGATCGACGAGTTTTCTGGGAAATTAAGCGACAGGGACAGCAAAGTGCTCTTGGCTGATATGGGGCTTTGTTTTTTAATTGTATTCGTAAATTGTTTTCTGATTTTATTTTAGTAATTGAAGTGAGTAAGCACTTGAATACTCTACTAAGTTGTAATGTCTTAGCTTGGTTTCTTTACGATTATATATTAATTTTATTCGATTCGGTTTTATATTATATTTTATATATATATATTTAATGGTTCCCAAATCAAGTCTGAAACGATCTTGTTAACTTTTGTTCATATATTTCACGGTCACCAAAGTAAGTTTCATATTTATTATATATATAAATATTTGAAAATCTTGTATTTTTCATACATTTCACGGTCGCCATGGCAAGATCTGATGTTTCAGATATAGTTTACTCGTCAGTCTAAAAAGTCCATATAAAATCCCAGGAGATAAACTATTCGACGACGATTTCCAGATATATATGTACTTGTAGATTTGAAAATCCCGAAGTACAGTAATTCCCCTACCTCTTGCCGAGGGCGTCATAAATCGGTGTGTTAAACCCAGAGATTGCGGGCGGGGGAAAATCCAGTGGAAGCGCCTCAAGTGGCTGCAGTTCTTCGTTAGACCAGCGCACCCATGTGCTCTCTCCGTTCTCCAGTCTTCGGCTCCGGTGAAGGCTAGAAAGCCCGAAGGGTATCGTGTCTTGTACGTACATGTGATGTACGATGTTCGATGTACGACCACTATGTTGACGATGATGATGTGTTTTTTGATTAGATTAGGATGCCCGTTTGCTGTCAGATTTATTTGGCGGCGACGGCGGTGATATGGCTTCGAGAGTGCCTCCTTCTCCTTCTCCAGTTGGCATTGCCACGTCGGGGACGTAACACAGACAAAGCAGCGAAGCTAACCAACCAACCATGATCGGAAAGGGACAACTTCTGGCGGGATCTCTGCTCCTGGTTGTGCTTACAACCCTGCCATCGGCACTGAATGGTAAGATAAACTCTCTTACTTTCTTGGATAACCTTAACTCCCCCTTCGACACCTTCTTAACTCACCTTCTCACCTTCTCCTTAATTCCTCTTTAAAGTTTTCCTTGAACATCTCCTCGAACTCCTCCTTCAAATCCCCATTGAACTCCTCCTTCAAATCCACCTTTAATTCCTCCCTGAAATCCTCCTTCTACTCCACCTTCTAGTCCACCTTTAACTCCTTCTTTAACTCCACCTTTAACTCCTTCTTTAACTCCTCCTTCAACTCCTCCTTCAACTCCTTTTTCAACTCCTTTTTCATCACCTTTTTACCTGTTCCTTTATCACCTCTTTAACTCCTCCTTGATCTCCTCCAGGTTTTGTGCGACCCACGCCGCTGGGCGCCAGATCCATTAAACCACGCTTCGATGTGGACCCCGGGCGGATTATCAACGGCACGGAGGCCACTCTGGGCGCCACCAGGCATCAGGTGGGCATCAGGAAGGCCCTCAATGATGGATACTTCTTCGGAACAGGACACCTGTGCGGGGGATCGCTCATCCGGCCGGGCTGGGTGCTAACCGCCGCCCATTGTTTTGTGGAGTAAGTTGAAGCAAGGTTCTTAAGTTTGATTTAAAATGGTATTTTCATAAATAATATATTTAATTAAGCCCAAATAAGTTATTTAATAATATATAAATATTTTGCTATAAACTTTTTTAATTAAGTATTTTTTTCAAAGTTTTATATTTATATTTTTGTTTATATTTCTAAACTCTTAAAGTTAAATATTTATGTCTGCCTCTACACCTTATCTCTGATCTATATCGGTATGAATTTTATAGGTAATATTTACAAGTGTCGCTTCACGTGGCTATTAACTTATTTATGACTATTATAACTTATTATCAATTGTTGAGGCAAGAAGATAGTTACACGGGAAGAATTCTATAGGAAAGACAGTAACATTAAATTTGTTACTTAACGGTAATATTATATATTATATATATATTATAAATATTTTTAGAAATAATGTTTACCTAAAGATTATTTATTAAATATGATATAAATGCACAATTCAATCATTGGGTCTTTTACATTTTGTTAATGTTCATGTTATACTATTACTGTTATACTTATACTTTTATACTATTACTCTTATCCTTATACTTTTATACTGTTATACTAATACTTTTATACTATTACTCTTATACTGTTATACTAGTATCGTTATATCGATACTTTTAACTGTTATACGTATTACTTACTGTTATACTTATTATCATTCTCTCTTGATTTACCTTCCCAGCCAAGTTATATATGACGGCACCTTCGTGCCCAAGGAAGAGTTCATCGTGGTAATGGGTAACTTGGATCGCTACGATAAGACCAACACCCTAACCTTTGAGATCAAGGAACGAATCATGCAACTGGACAAATTCGTCCTGTCCACCTACGACAAGGACATTGCCCTGTTAGAGCTGAATGATACTGTGCCGACGGGTCATCCCACCATCCGACCTATTGCCCTCAATCGTTTCCCAGTAGCCGAGGGCGTTGTCTGCCAGGTGACCGGTTGGGGAACGAAAGAAGATGGCTACATCTCGGATCTGCTGATGACCGTTGACTTGCCCATTATCAGTGAGCAGCACTGCATCGAGGACAGCGATCTGGGCCATTTAATCCTGCCCGGCATGATGTGCGCTGGGTATTTGGAGCAGGGCGAGAAGGATGCCTGCTCGGGCGACTCCGGCGGCCCGATGGTCTGCCAGAGCGAGCTAGCCGGCGTCATCTCCTGGGGCATCAAGTGTGCCCTGCCCCGTTTGCCGGGCGTCTACACCGAGGTGGCTTACTACTACGATTGGATACTGGAGCAGATGGGCGAGGATCCCAATGGTGAGGGTAGCGGCGGCGATGGAAGTGGTGAAGGAAGCGGTGAAGGAAGTGGAGAAGGAAGTGGTGAAGGAAGTGGTGAAGGAAGCGGTGAAGGAAGTGGTGATATCGATGGCAGTGGTGATGGTGGTGGTGGTGGTGGCGCCATGACCGCCATTACCAGTACTCTGAGCTTGCTCCTGCCCGGCTTTCTTGCCCTGAGCCTGATGTTTAGTCATTAATCCCAGAATTACTTTGATAAAAAAATCTGTATAATCTAAGGACAAGGCTAAATTTTTTTTTGTATTAATTTGTAATAAAAAAAATATAGATTATATTATAATTATAAAATGGGGATTTGTTTTTGGAAAAATCAATCTGCTTTCAAAATTATATCGATAAATATCGATTTAAAGTGGCTAGAAATTCCGAACTTGAGGCATTCCTTTGAGCATTTAAAGCAAAAAAAAAAAACGAGTAAAAGCCAAAAATCTCGGTTTGTCATTAATATTTTAAGTTAAAGTTTTTCGTATAATCTTTTCAAGGTAAGTTTTTTTTCTTATGAATTTCTATTTCATTTTAAAACAAGAAAGGTTGCTAACTGCGGCACGCCGAAGATTGTATACCCTTGCATTTAACAATTAAAATATATCATAAATAAGCCAAAAATGCATTAATTTCGATTCGGAAAGCGGTTTTGTGTTAGTTTTTATACAAGGTGCGTTCCAAAGTAAAATTTATCGAACATTTGTATGGCAGCTATATGATATAGTCGTCCGATCCGGCCCGTTCCGACATATATAGCAGTGAGAGCATATAGAAGACTATATGCAAAGTTTCATTCAGATAGCTTTAAAACTGAGGGACTAGTTTGCGTAGAAACAGACAGACGGACAGACGGACAGATGGACAGACGGACAGACGGACATGGTTAGATCGACTCGGCTGTTGATGCTGATCAATAATATATATACTTTATAGGGTCGAAAAGGTCTCCTTCACTGCGTTGCAAGCTTCTGACTGAAATTATAATACCCTGCAAGGGTATAAAAATGTTGAGCATTAGTGTGTACCTGGAGACCCCTTGTATTACCTTTCTATCTGAATAGGTTCCGAACGTGGCTTATAGCTTTTCGCCATTCATGGCCTACTTCTAGGCGGTCGGTAGTAAGTTAGTTTCCTCCACAAATATTTTAATCTGCGGAAACTAAGTCCAACTAATCCCTGATCGACGCCGCTATCAGCTTCATTTTGCGTTAGTTTGTTAACTAAAAATAGTTTACGGCGCAGAAAACAAACCTGATTTCACTAGTCCGATGAATGGAGCTGGGCCACCGATAGGGGCCTAATCTTTATGGCAGCAGACTGGACGGCTGGCCAAGAATGGTGTCCGTGACTGCAGGGCGATCCATCGATCCATCGTACCACCGATCGCAGTGCAGACAAGGTCAAGGAGTCCCGTCTGCACGGAGTGGGTGCACTCTATTGATACCATCGATTGTCTGTCCCCGATTTGATTATGATTTGGCTTTGATAGCATCATAGGCATTACGCTAGTTTCAACCCCCAAGGTCTTGGGGGCATTACAACATCTTCCCCTCTTGATTAATCCTCGATTTCGGGTAGCATCGCTATCTAGAGTCCCTTCCTGCCACAATCGATCCTTATCGGGCACTCTTGGCGATGCAATCTCGTTCTGCTTTCCGTTTTAGTTTCGACCAAGTGGCCTATTCATAGTTTTAGAAAAAAAGAAGGCGTAATTTCCGTTACACTCAAGGAAAATTATTTATTTTATTATTATTATTTCTTATTTATTATTTATTTAAAGAATTACTCATAATTTAATGTTCTGATTAATATACTCGTGCATATTTTTTAACACAGTGTTAAATTTTAATAAATAATTATTAATAATTTACTATTGAATAGCTCTCCAAAAGCTTACCTTTTCAAGTTCTTATTTAGTATAACTTTACTCCGTATGCCTTATTAAATATAGTGCAAAAAAAAAAAAAAGTATAACATTAGCTGATTTAACGTTTTGTAGTATACTTTAGGGCCGCATTTTAAATGATTTTAAAACCGCAGCAATTTTTGTGGTATCCCTAATAAAAAAATTATTTAAAAAAAATTATATTTAAAAAAAACAATAAATTACAATACATTTTAGTTTAATTATAATACAAATTCCCTTTTAAAACCCTTATAAAAACCCCACATATTTTAATATTTAAAAATTATTTCAAGTTGAAAATTGCAAGAAATTCTTTTCTGTGTAAAGGTTGCTATCTTAAGAAAATAAAAAAACAAGTTTGGCACTCACTCATTCCCCCGAAAAAATTTAAGGCGCACCAAAAAATAGTTTTTACCGAAAATATTTTTCACAATAATAAGCAAGTAGTTGAGCCTTATCAGAGAATCCCAATTATTATTTAGTTTCTGCGAATCTTGAATTTTTATCTTTAACCTAAATTTAATTTTTATTTTAAGCTCAAAGTCCGACTTGCATCCAACTTGCAACATAAACAAATTACTAAAAATATTTATAAAAACAACAAAATAACAGTCGTCCCTTGACTGGCGCTTATCGATGGCATGGAGCGTGTGTGTTTGTTTATTATTCGATTCGAATGGAATCGGGCTCTATATAGTCGTGTATGGGTGCCTTATCGACGCCGACGTCGAATCAAAACTCACGAAACCAAAACAAAATTATGGAATTATCTAAGAACGCTTTTGCGAATTTGCGTTCGTTCGATTTAGGAAAGAAGCTCGCCAGCGGTTTCTTCATTCGACGCTCGACAGGTGAACCGTTCAGCACGCTTTTCGCGCTTTCAAATTTCGAGATTAAAGCTGGATCATCACCTGTGTTATATATATATAAAATATATATATATTCCTTTTTTTTTAATTTTTTACTGTGAACTAAGCTTTAGAATGCAGCTCAACGATCACTGGCGCAAGATTGTAAAGACTATGATCTTTGCCTTTCTCTGCACCGAAATGCAAACAAGTAAGTTTTTTTTTTAATGTAAAGTGTTACATTTTTGTTTAATTTTTAAATGAAAGAAAATAGAAATTATTAATATAAGGAGTTTATTTAAAAAAAAAGTGTAACCCTTATTAGATATCTTAAAATACACATTTTATACGATTTTTTATCAGTAATAAATTATTCAAAAATATTCTTAATCAATTATTATTTAATTTTAAATTAAATTAATAATAAAATACAATGTGCTGTAATGTTTATATACAGTTATCAGCGAAAGTTAGCCCTTGAATAGGTTTAGATATGGAATTACGCCAGTTTTACACTTGATTCGGTCAAGGTTTCTTGGGAATACTTGAAATGTTAGTACACCAAGAAATATATAGATATGTCGATAAGGTTTAAAAAGAAATAATATATATAAGTATTTATATATATATAAATTATAGATGTTTTAAAGTCACGTAAGCTATAATTTACCTTTGAACATTATCATTAAAGTGTGAAGAATTTAAGTGCTGCGTTTAAAAAGTTGTAAATATTTTTATAGCAAAACTTGTTTGGTTTATGGTTTTTTTTGGTGTTTTGGAAAACATTTTTGTGTATTCTTGGGCAAAAGTTCAGCTAATTAAATAAATAAAAATAAAATAAAAATAGCTGCTGGAATTGACATAATTTATTTCTGTTTAAAAAAAGAAATATATGTATATATATGCAACTTAAAATTGTAAAGTAAATATTGAGATCATAATTATTTATATATTCTACTGAAATAAAACAATATTTATAGGATATATATATATATAAAGGATATAATAATTTCTTAATTTTTATTTTAGAATTTTATTTTGAATGTAGTATGTACCTTGATCATTTTAATAATATATTATAATATTTTAATATTAATAATATATGTAATAAATATATATACAATTTTCTGAGTCATATACCTTTTGCTAGCAGTGTTTTCTTGGGCCTATATGGCCCAATATAATCCCACGATTATCCAAATCGCTGTGCGCCTTCAAGTGCGTCACTCCAAAATTGATCAATTGGGGCGATCAGTGAGTACTATAATATCGCGTGATCCGACCAAACTATAGCACGCTTCCGGCATGTGTGTCTGTGGGATTTGACTTGACTTGGCTTGAGTTCTATATACATAGATATAGCACCTATCATATCTGCAATCGCGCACACACGCCCGAGGGAACAGTTAGGCAGGCGGTGGTGGCCTGATCGCTCTCCGTTTCGGTTACTCCACGGATCCGGGGATCGGGAATCCGGGGCTTGTGCACTAGCTGAAAACGCGCTGATATCACGGGGCGATCGAACGCTGACCAGGCGTCCTGATAAGGTGATAAGACCTAACTGCACTCGGAGACTGTTTCCATGGGGGAATCCGATCGGATCTCGATTGTGGCTTATCGGCCTTCCTGCTTAACCTTCACCTCGCTGGTTTAAGAAAAATATATGGTATATATATTTAGATAAATAATATATTTTTTTTATATTTAATACCTTCCACAGCATATACACATCGCGACTTGACCGCAAAGCGACTTGGCCTGGCCGAAATGGAGGCCATTGCAGCGGCCACTGGCGAGGATCGTTTCCAGGCCAAGATGAGGGCCCCATATCATGCATCCATTCGTTTGCTGGCCCAGGAGCGGGATTACTTTGGCAAGGGGCACATCTGTTCGGGTGCATTGGTGGCGCCATCTGTTGTGCTAACCGTAAGCAGTTGCATCTTCAGGTGAGTTATAATTCCCAAGTAAAGAGTTGGGAATGAAGAAAAATATATAACAAATGAAGTTTTTAGTTTTTTTACTTAAAAAATATAATAAATACATTATTTTATCAATTAACAATAATATATAAATTTTGTGTTATTACCTACAGCCACGTTAAGAAGTCCTACTACCATCCCTCGGAGCTTCGCGTGTTGCTTGGTAATCCCCAGAGGTTTGCTCCCCACGAGCAGGGCTTGGCCTTTGGCATTACCCACATCTACCAGCCGCCCAAGGATCTGGCCCTGGCCATTCTTATGCTGGACAAGGACGTTCCCCTGGATCATGAGCTCATTCAACCGGTGGGTCTGCCCTCGCCCGGCGAGACATCCGTCCTGGATGCGGAGTCAAGCAACTCCTTGCAGATCAGCACTTGGGGCTACGATGGCGAGATCCGGGAGCTGCACGACCTGATTACCTTGAATGCCACTCACACAGCGTGTCATCAGCAGCAGGCGACGCAGAGCCAGTCCCCAAGGATCTGTGTCCAGGCGGAGGTGACGAGTTCTTCTCTCGGCCAGAAGTTGTACATGGACGCAGGGGCCACGCTGACGGAGCAGGATCGCCTGCTGGGTCTAAGGAGCAGTGATGGCGGCTTTGAGGACGTGGCCAGTCATGTGGAGTGGATCCTTGCTCAGATAGGCGATGGCGGCAATCAGAACAGCTCCATTTGGGGCATTCTGGGGTTCCTGGTCTTCACTGGCTATGTGCTTACCGTCAGCAGGAAGAGCTTCTCGACATAGGGATGTGGGATTTGTGGGGGATTTTTCGGGGGAAACTAGCCAAGTAAGAGGGATCCTAGGTCAGCCTAGAAATGTGATAATCTCGATAGCCAGAGCAGGATATCCTGGACCAAGTTTGCCTAAAGATACTTTTTATAATTTCAATATTTTGTAAAGAAAACAAGTCCTTAACAAGTCCCTTGGGTTGCTCAACAATTTATTTACATATATATAATACATAGCATAAGGGTAGAATTATATACGCATTAAATACAAATACAATAATAACGATAATATACAAAAATGTACAAGAAAAATGAACCCTGGATCCCTCAACCCAGCAAAGCCCTCACCAGGCTGCACTCCTTGGCTCCATCGCAGAGCAGCAGGAGCGGCGTCTCCTCGGCCTCCAATCTTTGGCCAGATTTTACCAAAGGAAAAGCCCACTGTTGCTGTTTTTTGTGGCCAAAACTGCGCTGCTGCCAGCCTCCCACCTGGCCGTACTTGAACAGGTAAAAGTGCTCCGACTCCGGCTGGGTGACCACCAGCAAATACTGCTCCTCTCCCACCCGGAACGGTGTCAATTGCTGGATACGCTTCTCGAAACTCAACTGCTGGCGGGGCTCAAAGGAAGAGCTCTTTGCCTGGATCCGACCGAAGATGGCTATGTGCCGGCAACCCGGACAGGTGACCAGCAGCTGATCCCCCTGCAACTCGGCCAAATCGTAGGAGCCAGGTATAAGCTGAATCAACTTGAAGCGCTGGTCCGCGGGATCCCATGAATGGATGGCCACCACGGGACGGTGGTTGTCCATGCCGCTGGTTAGCAATAGGTCCTCTTCTCCTTCTCCTCCTGCTTTTCCTTCTCCCCCACCCATTCGGTGCACCTTCATCAAACGACCATCGGCCGGTGTCACCGATTGCCAGTCCGTGAGACTACAATTGGTTTGGTTTAGCCGCAAGACTCGTACCTCCTCCTCGGTGCCTAGGAGGAGCAGTGCTAATCCCTGGCCCTGATCCAGCAACTGCAACGCCTCAACCGGCTGACGCATGCCCAGGTGGTGGGATTCGTTGCGGCAGCTGATGTTGATCCTGCTGCGCAGCCTCCTGGCCGGGCGATGGCAGTGATTCTGCACCTTTACTCGGATATCACCGGAGGTTATACGCGTCAGCTGGCTGGAGGAGGCATTGACTAGGAGCACCTGGCGCTCGGGGAGCCGGACCTGAGCCCTTAGCTCCCGACGCTGGCAGGGAGCTGTTTGACCCAGGGGCAGGCTTACCAGGAAGTCGGCGTGGCCCTTGAGCGGTGGCTTCACCCATTCGGATGCCAGGGTCTCGGAATCATGATCCAGGTAGAGCAGCCGCCTATGGAGGGAGCTTTGGTTCCCAACGCTCAGAAGTTCCTGCAACTCTTGCAGCGGATTGCCTTCCTGCGTCCCCTCCAGCGTTCTCATCTGATTGGGTCTGGGAAGGGGTGCTAGTTGTGGCTGGACGAGACCTCCGGAAAAGAGAGCCCTGTCCAGCACCAGGCTATCGATATTGTAGTCCCTGTCCCGGAAGATGCTGCCACGGTAGCTCTCGCTGAGATCACGACCATTTAGGTTCATCACATGACCAGGTCCCGTGAACTGTACACCTCCGTGGAAGGTCTTCGCACCCGAGATGCTCTGCACCTGGCGGCTGTGCTTCAGGACGAGGTTATCCAGCGGAATGCCGTTGATGGTTCGCAATAGGGGCTTCCCCAGCTGCAGTTGCTCAAAGGTCAGGGAGCCGAATACCTCCAGAGCGGCCCCCTTGAGGGGAATACGGTGCTGGAGGAAGTAATCCAAGCTCATCTCGTTCACGGTGCCCAGGCTGAGGGATTGCTTAACATGCAGTTGCCTGAACTTTACCCTGGGCCAGGATTGGCCACTGCCCTGCTGGAAGATCTCACCAAGCGGAACTCCATTCACCTTTGGCCTCTCCAGCTGAAGTCGGCCTATCTCCGGCTCTTGGAGGAAGTGGAGATTAGCAGCAATGGCCTCGCCACTGGACAGGCGGTAGAGTGAGGCATTCAGTCGCTTTATATCGATACCATTCACCTGGCCGAAATGTGCATCCTTTGCCAGGTGCACTGCTCTGGCTCTCACGGTTCCCAGTAGCATGTGGTTGGCCGTTATCACCTGGCTTTCATTGCTGCCCGTCCAACGCAGAAGGGCATCCTCGGCCACATCCGAGAGATTGAGATTTGTGGGCAGGGATTGTTGCTTGCTTTGGAGCCTCTGCATTTGAGGTGCTCTCAGGAGCACATGCCCAGTGATGCTCTGGTTGCCCGCCCGCCGAACAGCGTGCTGGCGCAGATAATCCAGCTGGGAGTGCTCTTCGGCATTGGCATCGGCATCCCACAGGGCATCGCCGGTGACTATCAAATTCCGCCAGGGAAGTTGCTTCACCAGCTCAACCCGCTTCTCCAGATTCTCCAATCCCAGGCCAGGTTCACTTGGGCACTTCAGGCTGCCCTTGATGGTCAGCTGCTTCAAGTAAACATCTCCCTGTAGCTTCACATCCTTACGAGTGTCAATGAACTCTTCCCTGGGAACGCCATTCACCCGGGGCACATCCACATTGCTGGCCGCCATCCGGCCAAAGCTGTAGGCACCGCCAATCTCCTGGGGCGTTATCCGAAGCAGGGTGTTGTCCAGCAGGGAGCTCAGGTCGATATTGTTGATGTGCGGCGTGTGCAGGGCATCGTTTAACTGGAGTCCGGCCTGGAAGGCTTTCCTGCCCCCCACTTCCGCATTGGCATCGAGCCTGACCAGTCGGCTTAGGTATTGGTCCCACTCAATGCCATTGATGGTCTGCAGCTGGAGTGGCTTCTCGAAGCGTACGCTGCCCTCGATGAGCAGCTGCTTGCGGAGGAGAAGCAGCGAGTGCTCCTCACCCTCGGAAATCTTGGACAGCAGGTCGTCAAAGGGCAAACCGTTAAGGCGACGAAAATGCAGCATTTTGAGATGCGGAGTGTCCGTCAGTTCCAAGCGCTTCAAGCTCAGATCGTGACCCAGGAGTTGATCTATGGGCAGCCCATTTAGGCGACTCACGTTTAGGTGCTCTTGTACACGCACCTCATCCGACACCACCAGGCGGCCAAAGCGCTTCGTTCCTTGAAAACTCTGGACGGGATTCGATTTGAGAACCAGCTCGCTTACCGGCATTCCGTTTATTTGCTGGCTTTGAAGCGTTTGGACTGTGAGAGGTGCCTGGAAGCGCTTGTGTCCCGTTATATTAGCCTCCTGGCCATGACGCACTGCCTCCCTAGAGAGCTCGGCCAAACGAGAGCTGTAGTCCCGGCACAGAATGTCACCCTGGACACTGGCGTTCATAAAGATTATGTGTAGAGATCGGTTTGGAGTTTGGCTGGAAATGGGTTGACCTCCGTTGAGCAGGTGTTCTTGGAGAGGGTGTCCACCCAGGAAACTGCTGTTAAGAGAATGTGCACTGACCTTGGCGTAACCAAAGGTCAAGTTGGAGATGTCCTATGGGATTTGGAGAAGAAGTTTAAAAGGTCAAGTTATACAGAAGCAGTTGGGGAAACTCACCTGTGGCGCTTGATTGAGCAGGTACTGGGCATGGAGGTCACTCCGGGCCAGCGACTGATTGCCCAGCATCAGCTGGGAGATCTCCGTGTCCCGTTGCACACTCCTAACAGTCAAGGAGCCGCGGATGGTGATCCTGCCCGTGTAGTACTGCTGAAGGAGTTGCTCCTTCTCCGGATCCAGCTGCCTCTTCGTGCGATTCGCCACCTGCAGGTCACCGGATACGCTCATCTGGTTGATGCGAACAGGAGCTAGCGCATAAATGAGGTTTGCATTAATTCAGTGGTGGTTTGGGGAAAGTTCAGGCTTACTTTGCACCCAGGTATCATTGCCTGTTCCGCGAAAGACTATGTCCTGGGCAAAGTCCATTCCGTTCACACTCTGGGCTTCGAGGCGCGGCGCAAAGAAGGCTGACATGTAGATGTTGGAGCTGATCACCTGGGCACGGCGCAGGTTGAACAGTTGGTCCACCACCAGTCCATTGAGAAGGGTCGTTTGCATGGCGGCTACTTTGGTTCTTGACTGCAGGACGAGGCGACCCTCGAGGCGAGTGTCGCGATTGCGCAGGAAGAGCGAGTCGAGAAAGTCGTGCCAAGACACGCCATTGATCAGTTCCACTTGAAGGTGACGCACCACGCACTCGGTGCCAGCCGGATGCTCACCCGCCTCTGGTGGCGGCGTTTGAGATTCACTGGAATTCTGGTAGTCCCGCGGGGTCATCAGCTGCTCTGTGCGCAGAGTCTTGGTTAGCACAGGACTATTTTGAATGGTCAACAGAGGAGCTGGGCTCGATGTTGTGTCCAATATGTGTCCTGAAACGGAAACCAGAGATTAGACCCACAGATGAAAGTAATATTTACTTATAGAGATCGTACCTGGCATAAGGACTCCTCTGTAAATGAGATTTTCCACCCGGAGACGCTTTACTTTCAGCGTTTCCACGGCTTCATTGTCGTTTTCCGCCCCAAAGGAACGGGTCATTCTCCTTGTCTGCTGTTTATCCTGCTCCAATCTCTTATATTTCTGACGCAGCTGCTCCAGACGCTGCTTCAGCTGCGAGGGAGTACACAGGTGGTCATCCTCTAGTTGGAGAAGTTCAATATGTCCCCCTTTGCGGAGATGGAGTTCCTGATTAAGTTGTGTACCAGTTCGCTGCTGCAGGATATGGATTACATTGCTCAGGGCTGCCAGGCTGGAACGACGGCGCAGGAGCAGGCCACGAAGGCCATTGATGGACTCCTCGAACTCATGGCGATGCAGCTGGACCACAGTAAGGTCTGAAAAAGTAGCAAAGTCTAAGAATCCTTTTGAAGAACTGCTTCCCCTACATGTTACCTTCATCCGGTGTGGCGCCCACTTGATTGGCGGACTCCTCAGACTCTGGACCCAGCTGAACAGTCCTCAGCACGGCACTGGAGGCTAGGTGGTAGGCGAGCAGCAGGAAACTCTCGTTCTTTGCATTCCTATGACTGAGCAGGCCACTAGGATCTGGTTGGCCAGTCATGGCAAAGCCGGAGTAGCAATCCAGTCGGGCGGATCCAAAGACAATTACTTCTCCATTGGCGCGGGCTCCGACCAGGAGCTGGCCCCCCTTGGTGGTTGTCAGCCGGCGGAAGCTAAGATCGCGACGGGCATGCTTTCGATTGACCACAAACTGGCCATCGATCATTCGAAAGTAGAGACACGGATCGGAGGCGGATGAACTGCAGGCAATTAGACGGTTCCGGCTGCGGAATCTGAATGCGTGAACAGTCTGGGCCTGGACAGTCATGGCCTGGCGATGCTGCAGGCGCAAAGTTATCTTGTCCAGCTCGTAAATGGTGAGTACCATCTGGATAGGATTAACAGAGAATAGTTAAGAAACCTTAAATGGACTGAATAATGGATGAATAATGGTTACTCACCCGTGACTGCGATCCTCGCAGGGATCGACCAAAAATTACATACAGCGGCTGGTTACCCACCACTTGAAGGACGCGGATGGCCGGCAAGGTGATCTCCTCGAGGGGATTGAAGTACGTGTCCAGCCATTCGAAGGTTCTGTGGGATAACTATAACACTAAAGTATATGATCCTCCTTGATTTAGGATTAGCAGCACCTGCACTTGCTCTGCGACCTGGTGTGATTGGAGGCCACCAGTAGGAGCACCTTTTCCGCACTGGGCTTGAGGATATGCAGCTGCAGGAATCCGCCGGGCAGCGAGAATTCCTGCAGCGGCTCAAAGTTCAATTGAGTCGAGGGATCTTCGGAGAGGAGCAGATCCCTGGGCAGTTGGTATACCTCCAGAGAGTCCTCTAGGACGAGGGCCAGTAGCAGGAACTGTCGCCAGGCTACAATCTCGACGCCAAGCGCTGGACGCTCTTTCACCCGTCCCGCCAGGCCGCCCAGGGGTACCAGCCGCCGCCTGCCGGTGGACACGTGGAGCTGATGGATCTCCGGTCCATGGAGCAGGAGCAGCAGATCCGTCTCCGGCTCGCGAAGCACAAAGATCGGCATCTCGTGGCGCATTAGTATGTCGACGAAGGGCAGGCGGATCTCCGGGCCGGCGCTGCTACTGCCATTAAACGCATTCCGGCAGGAGCTGGGCAGCACTTGCACTCCCCCTGGGTGTCCCGGCACTTCCTCCGCGGACAGTTTTCCCCCCACTTGGACTAGGCTGTGGCACACGAGGACACTCAATAACAGGACATAAAATCCGGACGAGAACATTTCACGTTTTATAAATATGGATCGCATGGCAGCATTAATGTCATTCCATTCGCTTAGACATCCAACTTTTCGAAAGCTTTTTCCCGGAGACTAACTGTAATATTTGGGGAAGGCGATAAAAGGGGGAGAGAATGGAGATGGAAAAAGAAGAGGAAGAGAAAGAGGAGAAGAGAAGATAAGCAACATTGTCAGAAAAAAGGTAGTGGGATTGAAAGGGATAGTACAGTGGGAGAGATGACTTTTTAAGCTCTGAAAGGATGCGGAGGAGATATAGAAAGGGAAGACAAAGGAAGGAGAAGGAGAGATTTGCAACTAATAGAGGGACATAATAGAGGGACTAAGGGAGAGGCACAGAGCTTACAACAGTACAGATTTTTTTTTTTTTTTATAAGCTTTAATTTCATAAATACTCTTAGAAATTTAGTAAATGCATAAAAAATAAAATTGTAATGTGTCTTAAATGTGTTATCAGTGTAAGCTAAAGAGATTTTTGTAATGGGAATATTTTTTGTTCATAAGTTTTCCGAATTATAGAAAAAAAATATTAATCTATCACTATGCCAAGTTGTTCTTGGTTGTCCCATTTCAGAACAGTGCCTGAAGGTATGCCACAAAATGGTAACCTCTTGTCGTAATGCTCTCAACAGACATTTTGCCCTGTATTTTCTATAGTTTTCCCCCAATTCTGCCTTTTCTCTTTCTCTGTCTCTGCCAGAGTGACACCTTGGGGCTGGGAATTACATTTTTGTATGGGGGGTAGTGAGGTGTGTGTAGACTATATTGAGTCTAAAAATAAAGGCAGACAACAAACTTGGAGAGTGCCTTCGACGATTCCGTCGAATCAATCAGCTTCGATCATTAGTCGAGGTCATTAAAGACATTAAGCCTCCCTCTTTTCACCGAAAATGAGGAAGACAGCATTTAACACGGAAGAGGGAATCGCGTATAAATAAAATCTATATATACATATGTACATATATGTATATCTTTATAGAGGGACTCATTGCCTGGAGGGATTTGATGTAAATCCGTAGCTTTAACCCAAAAGGTGGCCGCACATTTGTACTTTGTGTTTAAGAGAAATCAAAAGGACCCGTAAATTGTGCAATGGAATAAAATTTCTATATAATTTAATTCGTGTCAATGCCCTCGAGTCAAATAATGGCTGCATCTGCTCTGAATAACCGGCAGAATATTTACTTTTCCGAAAACTGGATGGATGGATCGCAATATTTCGGCCGCATATTGAAAGAAATGTAAACAAAGGCAGCTTTTGGTTAAAAATAACAGCACTGCGAATATTTAATTTTGTATAATTACTTATGCAGAGCTATTATTTATTGAAATTTTGTGAAGATTTTAAAGCAAATATTTTTAAATATACCTAACTTTATTAAAAGTTAAAATGGCTCAAGACCATTTGGAAAAGAAAAACATAAAAAATTAATTCATTTAGGAACTGTTGCATGCTGCAACTTTAACTTCTGCTGCTAACAGCTGTTGTCTGGTCATTAGCAGATGTTCCGCTTGCGTGCTGCCGTCCGTCCATCCGTTTGTCCTGTTTCCGTTGACCATCTCGAGCAGCCGCCGTCGCTTTTCGTGACTAATTAGCAAATTTCGCGACACCCGTCGCGCATACGAGCATTTGGCGCTCTTTGGCGTTTTTGACATTTGGGGTCAGAGGCCAAACCCAGAATCTAACCTACGGTTACCGTTAGCCAGCAGCTGATTGCCATGCCTGCAGCTCATCAGCAGGCTCATAATCATAACGGTGATGAGTGGCGGCCACTGATTTGAGTGAAGCACTCCTCCCCCCCGCCCAATGGGCCGCACTCATGCGAGCCGCACTCACTTGCGCTCTCTCTTTCATTCTCTCTCTGTGTTGCTTCCAGTCGCCAAACTCCCCAGAAAGTGCTCCACTTACGCCCCACTCTCTCTGCACTCGAGTGTGTGAGTCAGCGGCAGCGAACCACGCATCATGGGCAAAGAGAGCCATGTACAGTGGGTAGCAATTCGTCTGTCTGCTTAAAATAAGTGCATTCACAACATTCACTTTATCTGATTATGCTAAAATTTATAAAAACTAAAATTTAAGAGTCTTGAATGCAGACGAGGCAAAATGTTTCTAGCAACATATTGCGCAACATCCAAATGAAAACAAATGTTCCTTAAAACTTGTGCAACGTTTCATCTATGAATCGTCACTGATGACAGCCTAGAAATTAATTTCATCGGTAATTTTATATGAAAATTCCTTCATTGATATTTCATTTGAATTTACTGGTGAATTACTTTTAAGTTACTGATGAATGCAGGCTTCTGTTCTTGTGCGGCCCACTGTGCGGCGCCCAAAAATTCTTGGAGAGCAGAGTGTGCGCTGTGGCACAGTGGCCTCTAAAGAGAGCGAGAGAGTGAACTGGCAGCAAGATCGCTCATTGTGCAATTTCGGGCCGTGTTCTGCGGACGCAGTTCAGTCGCATCGCAGTCGCCGCCGACGTCGCAGTAGCTGAATTCCGATTGGAAGTGAACTTAAAATTCGAAGCGGGCAATTTTTGTTTATTTTTATTTGGTTCGTTTTTCTATGTTTTTTGTGTTTTATTTTTTTGTGAAAATGTCACCGGCTAAGCAACAATTTGCCATGAATGAGCGTTGAGAAAATTAAAACCAAAAGAGAACCTTTTGGATACAAAAAAAAAAAAAAAAAGGGGGGGAGATAAAGGAGATTGAAAAACACTCAAAATGAAATTGTGGAAATCAAAGAAGCCCATTTCGGGCTGTGTGCCTGGAAAATCAGCGGCCCTCAAGCAGGACCAACAACAACAACAGCAACAGGACTCCCTCAACAACGGATCCTTCAATGGACAGCATCACCATTCACAGCAGCATCCGCAGTCGGACAGTAGCGGCATCGCCTTGGCGCCCATGTTATCCGGTAAGAGCTTTTCCGCTTTTTCGTCCCGCCCCTCTCCCCACTTTCCCAGCAATCGCCCCCATCTTAGAGGCGCCCAACATGTGCGCTCCCATTTTCCGCTTTTCCACTTTTTCGCCTTCCAACCGCCACCCCCTCCCCCGCTCAGGGTTATCGCATTTCCGCCCAAGGTGCTTGCGTACGGCCCTCAAGTGCTCGAATTTAGATATAGAACTGTATACAAATATCCGACGGTGTATATCTTTGTATAAGCGGATATCAGCTGGCAAGCACTGGGAGGAAATCTTGAAAAGAAATTTAATTTACTTTGAAATATTTAAATGTTAATTTAACTCAATTTTTATAATATTTACTAAGCATAGAGGGATAAAAGTTATATTAAACTCTAGAGTTATTAAAGATTTTAAAATGTGGAAAGTGTATTTCAAATATTAGTCCATTTAATCCATTAAAAATAAATCATTTTTAAACATAACTGTTCAAAATCCGAACTATTTGTTGGAAACTGCTGGAAATTGTTGAAATTGTATTTTTATTTCTGCCTTTTACTCGATTTTAATCAAATATATATTTTACGTCCTGGGAAATGAAAATCAGTTTGTGTGTGACTCCTTACCTTTGTTATTTCTCTCAGTGTAGTAGCCAAGACAATGTTTGACATTTTCAATTGAATGTAATTGCTCGCGTTTCGTTTTCATTTTCATTTTCATTTTCCAACCGTACTCGAATTCCCTGCAATTTGTCGTCAATTTCCCCCTCAGTTTCGGTTCTGGCAGCCGCTCCTCCTACTGCTGTGACCTGACCCTTGATTTCCCCCCAGCGAACGGTTCAATGAGATCAGCGGGCAATGTGATGGATTACCCGGGCAACGAATGCGATTGCCAAATCAGAGAAGTTCAACAGTTCCCCGGTTGGGATCTGTGCCACCGATATATCATGCCTAATTGGAGCTGATCGGATAAGCAGATGATCAGATGCATTTGCCATCAATTGAGACGTAATTGAATGGATTGCACAATCTCAAAATGGAGGCTCCTGATTCTGCAGAGCATTTACAGAATTTTCCCAAAATAAATTCTGAGCTCTGGTCGACCTTTAACCTATCCGAAAGCAGAGATCTAGATAGGCACCTTAATGGTCATAAAAGGTTGTCGTCTCTCTCTCTCTCACTTTGAGTTTTGGTTCCGCGAATCCAAAAGATACTGGCGCGGATTAATGATCTAAAAATGCCGCCAGGACAGGCGGCTGGGATTAATGTCAGCTAAGAGGGAAGAGTGGAAAAAAGTGGGGGTAAAATGATGGCCCAACTCCAATTGCAACTTGAACTTTTTAGTGAATGGAGGAGAACCGAACCGTCGGTGGAGATACAAAAGTATCTGCATCTGTTCGTGTGCACGGGCTTAAATTGCATTTGATGAATTTATGGCATGGCAGGCGTAATTAAGCATTTAATTAAATATTTCTGATGCGCCGCATTGTTGTTGCCATTGCCATTGCCCCTGCTCCCGCCCCTCCGCCGTTTGTTGCTTAATTTTCTTGCGCGGAATGCCGCAGATTGTATCTGCTAGATAAGGCCAACTGCCTGGCCAGAATGTTGCTGCTGGCTGCTGCCCGATGCCACACAATCGCCCATTGATGCCACAGAACAGCTGCCTTCAAGATATTAGTATCTTTTTTAATTCAAAATGTGAAAATTTCTATAGAAAATGTGTTTTCTGAATGTTAGTTACCTTATTTCCCATTTGAGTTGAAATTGAGAACAATTACAAGTATCTGATATCTTCCACTATTGCCTTGATCACTGCAGTATGAATACACGGGCTCCGAATATATAGATTCATCTGCAATTGTGGGCAAACAGAGGCGTGCACTCATACTACATATAAAAAGGGGGGATTGGTTCCGGGGGATGACCAGATGTCACTTGTTTACACAGCAATGACAGCGACAACAACAACAACAACAACTGAGGCGATTGATTTGACTCGACTTTTCGTAAAGCAAACATAGCCTGAGAACGGCGAAAGGTGTTCAATGTCAATGCCCGGATCCAACTCTAAATTCAAATCAGAGACCCAACAGATGACAACTCCCCCGAAAAAAAAAAAAACAGAAAAGAGAAAGAAACCCTCATTTCGGCGTCCCCCTTCCCTAGACGCACATTAAATGCCCATAAAATCAACGACAAAACATATGAAATCGTAAAAAAAGAGTTGAATGGAATGGGAAAATGTAATGGATCAACACAGATACCATTGTAGGCGATGACAGGCAATGGGAATGAGATGTATATTTTAGGGAAATCAATTGATGGTATTAGGAATTATGATTTATATATTATTATTATTATTCCTATAATTGTATAGAAATTTAGAAAAACAAGTTTACCTATTAAGAAAATTATTTAAAAACGTTTTCAAAAAATATAAACTTTTAGAATAACTCATTTATTCTGGTTCCAAACAAATGTTGACATCCTTGTCTATATCGTTTGTAATCTTTTCACCCGATTTAACAAATTGCCATTAACCGATACAACTTACAAGAAACATATACATATGTATATTGATGAAACTTAAAAATGCTATTAAGCTCAATATGGATTTTTCCTTTCGAGCGATTGAAAGAGTGCAGAAAATCCCGAAAAGATCACGTCTCTGTTTGACATGGAAAATGTGGCAAAACTTATGGGACAATTAAATTTATGGAATTTTTATGATCATCATGATATGTCGCAGCAGCAACAGAATCTAGGGTAACCGATATACTATAAATGCAAAGTGGATAATGTTCCTTAAACACCATCATGTGTGTGCTTCTGCTTTTAGTTCTTTTTTAGATTTTATGGATTCCTTTGGGTTGCATACACTTTTTACGAGTTGCATTGGGGCCATGATTGATTGAACATCGAACAAATGTTTGAGAGCCCACTGAAACACTGAAACACCAAATGGAAATGGAAAATATGGGTCGCTGGGGGCGAGCCATGGGTACTATCTATTTGTGTATTGCCTTTGTTGTGCACTTTTCAGGCCAGAATGAATTTGTTCGAGTCTTGTTTCCCGACTTTTTTTTTATGGCCAGTAAATTGAAGTGTTTGGAATTTACAACTGATTTGGAAAGCAATTCTGATTTAGCCATTTATGGGGGGAGAAGGGGAAGTGATGAGAGGGCGTGTCTCCTTGTTTTATGATCGGTGCTAAAATTAGAATGGGAAATACTTTTTTTTAGAAGAGAAATGTGTAGAAAAACTAACAATCAATGCTTTCCATATTTAAATCAATAATTTTTTGACTTTGTTATGGTTTTTATCAACTGAAAGACTCTATTACAATATGATCTTTGAATAATATATCTAAAATTACTGAAATTATTCCTAGTGTAGACTTCGTCTTCTGCATAGCTGCAATTCCTTTATTGCTCTGGCGACACTTCATTGTTGTTGATGGGTTTATTTCGTTCCCTGGAGACAGACCATTTTCCCAACTTCCCCACATCCCCGAGGGAATATACATACATACATATATGTATATGCATATATGCAGCATGCAGGAACAATAAAAGTCATGAGTAGGTTCGCTCATCCAGGGATTTTCATAATTCCCGGCCTCTTTTTCCCCTTGGCACTCCATGGAATTGGGTGATGTGTGATTTGGGGCTTGGGTATTGGAGTATTGGAGTATTGGAGTATTGGAGTATTGAGGGGGGGAGTTTAAGATAAATCGGAGAAGGGGTTAACTCTTCCAGACGGTAAGACGTCTTATGGCTAAAAGGGGTAAGAATTCAATGAATTCTTTCTTTTCCTACACCAAAAACATATAGTATTTGTTTACGTATAAGAATCTTTTATAAAATCGAGAATATTATGAGCACTTTTTTTCTTTTGTTCTTTTTTAATAAATATTATAGCTATATAATAATAATATTTTTTAAAAAATTATTTACCTATTAAATAAAATGATGTTACTTCATTATATTTTTCCCTCAGTGTATTTCTCCTCAAGAGACCGAGAGACTCTGCCTAAGAAGCGAGAAATCGCCGAGATGCCACTGTCGCGGCATTTCCCCTGTTCTCGACCTACCCCCCCCACATTCCCTTCCCCTATTTGTTTTTGGGCAATCGAAGATTTTTGCCCCTCACTTTTCACTTTCCCCTGTGTTTCCTTTTCGTGCCATGTGCGTAAGAGTTTTCCTCGGGTGTGCGTGTGTGCCTGTGTGTGTTTATTTTTCGCCACATTGCGGCCATCGAGTGTAAACAAAGCAACAGCCAAGGGACAGTGCCAGGGGCGGGAGTGGGGGTGTTGTCAAAAGGGGGGCCTCCGAATAAAGAGAGCGTCGCGAAGAACTCAACAATTTGACGCAATTAAAACGAAATGAGCACTGAGCGAGTGGGATGGCCACGGCGGCGACTGCGACAACAGTTGGTGTTGCTTGCCACAGTGGCGTTTCAAGGGGGTTTGTTGGGGTATGCAGTCCCTAAAAGAGTTTTTTTTTGAAGACTTAATATAATTTGAAATGTAAATGAAAATTCCCTAATTCAGAAATCATTAAAAATTTACATATCGCAGAGTAGATTAAAATAGGTTGCACAAAAACAAGGTCATATGTTTTTAGTTTTTAATTTTCCCTTAATTTCTACATATACATTTTAAGTTTTTTAAAGTTTAATTTATGAAACTTTAACACTGAGACTTTGCTTTTGAAGGTAAACAGGAATGTACATATATACTTTATAGGCAAACTTCTGATTAAAATAAAAATAAAGGAAAAGGGTTTAACCCTAGACGGTCATGCTTCGTCGATTCGACGACGCAAAATCACAAAAGTTCGAAAAATGAAAAAAAGGTCGTTTTTTATTCTTAGTTTTTAAGTATATTCTTAATATAAGAATTAATTATTATTTCTAATTTTGAACAGTTAAAATGATGAATTAAACGATGTTAAATTTTTTTTTACAATATTTGTTTGTTTTTTAACAATTATACTTATTTTAAAATTGGCGT